CCCCTGCATTAAAGTCTCTATTCTTCGCATGCTGCGTATGTACAGAAAAGGTTCCCCACCCCTGCATTAAAGGCTCTATTCTTCTCATGCTGCATATGTACACTCCCCCTTAAAGCCAACGGTACTCACTGTTGTACATAGCAGAGGAGGAAATTAGCCCTCTATCTGTGCCATATAGCACAAGACTCCAAACAAATCATGCTGGTTACCCTCATCCACTGAATCAGTCCCTCAGCTGGATCATTTGTCATTCTCTGCAAAACAAATGTATGCTTCTTTACTGATATGTGCATGACAGGTTTCCTTTTAAAATTGTACAATATGAGGCCCAATGACCTGGTGGCTGAAGCCATTAACAAAGTACTGTACATTACAAGATGTGCACATAAGCAAGGGAATACATTTGGTTATCAATCTATCAACATTCCTGTCCTTTGAGTAAGAAGCCTATGTCATAGTGAGGAATGATTTTTATTTCAGTACATTATACAACTTGGAATGTAAAGATATTATATGTAAAAACCAACATTTTCATGTCCTCTTAGTTACAACACTGTGTGTCCAAATAGTCCAAGGAGCATAGAGAAAATAGCTAGATAAAAATTGAGTAAATAAGCTTAATAAAGAGGAGACACAATTGAAAAGGCCTAGAAAAGGCCTACTGCAGCTTCCCTTCCCTGCTAAAATGGAATGAGCCAGACTCAAAACTTTTACCTCAGTGGTCTTACAATAAGTAAAGCATTACAATCAAACAAAGAGAAAGCCGGGTTTTCTTTAGATCTGATAGCCAAACGTACCGTTGTTCATTCAAACACTGGCTAACCCATCAACATGGGCCCTGATGAGTGATAATGACACCTTTTACTGTAGTTCTTATCTGTTCAGTTTTCATGGGCCCTGATGAGTGATAATGACACTTATCCGTTCAGTTTGCATCTTCATTTAGCTGTTGTAAATGTAGGTGCTTATGATACTTTTTCCAGTTTATCTGAAAGAGGGATGTATACATAGGTATTCAAATTAAGGATCGGATGGGGGTTGAAAGGAAGCTGCAGCATCACCTGGTTTGAAGTGGTTTTCCTTATATAGAGAGTTTACAGAAGGGCTGTGAATGACTAGTTGACTATCCAATAAGCAAATACTTATCAGATAGTTGACACACTAGTCAACTAGTCACTTCCCCCGCCTTGCTGCTTCTATCAGAAAAGCTCAGCTGGTCCAGACTGCACACAGCATTCCAAAGCGGCAGCACTGCATGGAGAGCCAGGATCTGCCGCTTTGAAGCTCTCCATGCAGCCTGGGGCCAGCAAGGACTCCCCACTGACCCTGGGCTCCATGCGGCGTTGCCACTTTGAAACACCACATGGAGCCTGATGCCGGGCTCCCTGTGGCATTTCAAAATGACAGCATCGCATGCAGTCCAGCTGCCCCCAGGCTCCATGCAGAACTGCCACTTTGAAATGCCACGGAAAGCACGGGGCCAGAGTGGTACTGCTTGAGTTCCCCGCTGGTCCCGTGCTCCCTCGGCACTTTTGCCTTTGAAGTATAGCAACATCTTTGAAGTGTAGCAACAGCCAGGGCTATTGCTACACTTCAAAGGGGAAGATGCTCTTATTGACTCATCAAATAGTAAGTGCAAATTGCATCGATTATTTGATTAGCCAATTAATCAGAATTTTACATCTCTAGTTTACAGTTTGGTTTAATGGCTATAAGCACTACTATAGAAATTGTTCCATAATGTAAACCAAAAAAGAGTGCTGGTTTATAAGCACAGTAGACAACTGCATCATTGTACCTCATCTAAAATGTTGGGTAGTGTTAGGGTGAAGAAGTAACAGGTATTTTAGTTGAAATACTATGTCTCTGTTATTACCTCCATTCAGAGATTGATTTCAGGTCCATTCAATGTAAACAACAGTGAAAATGTCAGTATGATCACAGAAGGAAAATTTTAAAGTATCAAAAATAGAAGGAACTTACAAAGAAGTGGGGGAAGGAGTGGGGAAATAAGTTCTTAGCACATACATATCACTTGTCATATCTTTGCAAGTGTGGTATATGTAAAATATGGACATCTAATAAGAAACACATTTATACTTTTGAATCATTTTCATTTTGATGGACATTATTTTCTGTTACTATTTCTACACTATTCTAATATAAGCCTTTGAAGAATTCTTAAAGCATGATTTCATCAGCTGGAAATATCTTAATTTTCTAAACTGCAGGAAATTGGATGGGAATCTTGGCAGTTATCTCCCAAAGCTCCTACTTCCATATTTCTTTCTTCCTGGTCAAAGTTTAAATGCTGGCATTCATGGGAATGGGGATGCATATTGGGTATGTTTTAACTTGATGGGTGGGATTGGTCCTGCCTTGGGCAGGGGGCTGGACTTGATGACCTCCTGAGGTCTCTTCCAGCTCTATGATTCTATGGTGTATACAGGACTGGATTAAGGCATGGGCTAGCCGGGCAGCTGCCCAGGGCGCAAACATATGGGGGATGCCTGATGGCAGCTGTAAGGGGTGCGCAGCACTCCTTATAGCTTAGTTACATGGTTATACACGTGGCAGGAGGCAGCACCCTGGGAGCAGATGCATATCAGGAGCTGGTATTTAAGCCGACTCCCCACATGTACCAGCTTCCACCTGCTCCCCCCATGCTGCTGCGTCTGTATCAGAGTCAGCAGAGCAGGGCAGCAGGCTGCTTCCCCAGGAGCTAGTGTGCATGGGGAACACTCCCTCCTTGCACTGGTTCGCTCCTGCCCCCCACGCTGCTGTCTGTGATTCAAAGGTTGTTGTGTGGAGCATCAGGCGGCTTACGAGAAGCCAGTGCGTTGGCCGGGCATGTGTGTCCTGCCGCCACCAGCTCTGCACGCTCTCCCTCAATGCGCCGGGCGGAGGCGGGGCTGCTCATGCCCCTCCCCCAGTCCGCGGCGCAATTAAACTGTCTGAGTTGGCACAGTATGTTGCACTTTATATCCAAATGGATTAGACTTCACTTACTTCCTTTAAAGGGTTCCCAGTTCACAGTAGGGATGTTAAAATGCGTGTAATTAAGTAACCACGTAACCACTAAAAATGTCAGCAGTTACATGGTTATACACGTGGCAGGAGGCAGCACCCTGGGAGCAGATGCATATCAGGAGCTGGTATTTAAGCCGACTCCCCACATGTACCAGCTTCCACCTGCTCCCCCCATGCTGCTGCGTCTGTATCAGAGTCAGCAGAGCAGGGCAGCAGGCTGCTTCCCCAGGAGCTAGTGTGCATGGGGAACACTCCCTCCTTGCACTGGTTCGCTCCTGCCCCCCACGCTGCTGTCTGTGATTCAAAGGTTGTTGTGTGGAGCATCAGGCGGCTTACGAGAAGCCAGTGCGTTCCAGGAGCTGGCTTTTAAGCTGGCTCCCTGTGCATACCAGGAGCCTGCATGTAACTATGAATGTTAACCATGAACCACAGTTACACTTTCTATCTCTAGTTCACATAAGATGTTGTATTAAGATGCACCTTTTAGGCAATCAGTAAATCTTGCTAGTTTCCTGGGGGAAGGAGAAAACAATTGCTTGCTATTGGATAGATATGAAGGTAACACGATAAGTCTTCAAAATAAGTTTAAGACAGTACTACTGGATCTGGGAATATACACAGTTTTTTAGTGAATGATATAAAGGATCAAATCATAATCTCTGCATATTTTCTTAGTTTCTACTTCATATTCTCCTGTATGTTTTAGAACTGAATTACCAAGTGCTGTAAGCAGCAACTTTTAAAAAAGTAAAACAGAAAACTGTCTGTCTTTGTCTCATCTCCAGAATGGGCTAAATATTTTGTTCTTCACAGATGGAATTTCTTACAAAAAGAAATTATCACCTGTGAATGCAAGTTTTGTTTTCCTTCCCAACATCCCGCAAAGAAGGAAGTGGAACTGTATTTCTCTCATTCAGGTGTATTCGTGTTGGAGTTTACATGCTACAGATAATATTTAAGTGCTGCACTGCATATTGTGCCAACAAGCCCTGTCAAAGTAAGAAGCCCATACATTTTGCTAAGGGCTATGAATTTATCCTCTTGCCCCCTTTTAGTGTATAAAAGGGTCCTTCATATAATACTGGAAAAAGCCTAGAAAAACAGAACAGTGTTCTGAATGCATTTTAGTTCGTCTCATCTCCAGAATGGGCTAAATATTTTGTTCTTCACAGATGGAATTTCTTACAAAAAGAAATTATCACCTGTGAATGCAAGTTTTGTTTTCCTTCCCAACATCCCCCAAAGAAGGAAGTGGAACTGTATTTCTCTCATTCAGGTGTATTCGTGTTGGAGTTTACATGCTACAGATAATATTTAAGTGCTGCACTACATATTGTGCCAACAAGCCCTGTCAAAGTAAGAAGCCCATACATTTTGCTAAGGGCTATGAATTTATCCCCTTGTTCCCTTTTAGTGTGTAAAAGGGTCCTTCATATAATACTGGAAAAAGCCTAGAAAAACAGAACAGTGTTCTTAATGCACTTTAGTCCTTGGTCCTTGCAGGAGAATTTGTAACTTTCTCTAATCAGAGTTTGTCAAAAAATTAAATGCTATTGAGTATCCACTAACAGAACATAGTCACCTGTGAATGCAAGTTTTGTTTTCCTTCCCAACATCCCCCAAAGAAGGAAGTGGAACTGTATTTCTCTCATTCAGGTGTATTCGTGTTGGAGTTTACATGCTACAGATAATATTTAAGTGCTGCACTACATATTGTGCCAACAAGCCCTGTCAAAGTAAGAAGCCCATACATTTTGCTAAGGGCTATGAATTTATCCCCTTGTTCCCTTTTAGTGTGTAAAAGGGTCCTTCATATAATACTGGAAAAAGCCTAGAAAAACAGAACAGTGTTCTTAATGCACTTTAGTCCTTGGTCCTTGCAGGAGAATTTGTAACTTTCTCTAATCAGAGTTTGCCAAAAAATGCAGGTAATCAAGTCGTTGAGACACTGTCCTTTCTGGTTGAAATGGCAAGCAACTGTTTTTTCTTTGTGATCCTGTCTGATATCTGTTTTGTGGGCATTGATCCTTTGGTGAAGTGTCTGAGACATTTGTCCAATGTACATAGCAGACATTGTGGGTCATTGTACTGCTAACTAAAATTGATGAGAGGGTGGCAAGAAGTGAATGCCCAGATATTAAGTTCTGTGGAACAGCAAATTTTGAGGCTCTTTAATAATGTCAAGTGCCATGGCTGAGAAATGCAATTTCAAATGATATTGCTAAAATAGGACAACTGCTAATCACTATCATTCTCTATGGCATGCTGCAAGCTGCAGGACATAGCCCTTATGGGGGTGCAGCCAGGCATCCCTGTCCTAGGGCAAGCTTGGCTACATACAGCTAGCAAACATACTTATAGGCTCTGTTTTAATTGTGTGGTGGCCTGAGTGCAGGTCTGGGAACCAGAAGCACCTGGGATCCTGGGTCTGTCATTGACTTCTGCATGTTCTTGGCAGGGCACTGTTTCTTTTCTGTGTCTTTTTCTTTGTCTGTAACATGGGGATACTCACATTTACCCACTGCTTAAAGGCTTATTTAGTTAATATATGTGCCATGCTTTTCTCTAAAATATTACGTGAGCACTATTTACAGTAAATATTGTTATCACATTTAATTAAGTAGAATACACAGTTAATCTGTTCAGAACTCAATATTGCAATGAGTAGCATATGGTCAAGCCAAACACCCAGTCCTTGGGCCCAGTTCTACTCCCACTGAAGCAAATGGCAGTTTTGCAACTAATGGCAGCAATGCAAAATCCCATTCGGAGATTACAGACTCATTTCTTCCTTTCGGTGGTGTCAGTTGAGGTGGATTTGAACTCAGTACAAAGCAAGACAGATCTTATGAACTGCTCCTCCTTTACTTCTCTCTTTTATAAACTCATACGGTGTTGATTTCCAAAATATGTAGGGGTAAGTTGTGTCTGTTTGAAACTTTGCCTCTTGGCAATACATAGTCTGGTATAAGATTCACCATTGGAAGTCACTGGTAGAGTAGTCACCAAAGCCCAACACAGCTCAGTGTAGAGTGGAGCTGAAATGCTTCACAACTGCTATGTCAGTCTATGGCTCAGTTTCTATGGAAGTAGGAGACATCTGTTGGAGAGACTGTGGAAATAAATGTACCATTATTTGATTGAAATATTATCCCAGTGGTTAGGATACAGGTATGGGACGCAGGATTCCAGGGTTCTATTCCTGGCTCTATTATAGATGTATTGTGAGACCATAGGCCAAAACACAAAGTTTGTTTCCTGATTTGACCCATCCCAAAGTTTGGGAATATTCAGGGATGGGGTTTGGGTACAGATTCATCTCTTCATGGAATCATGGAACACTAGAACTGGAAGGACATGGCAGGATCAAGCACTATCTATATTATTCCTGATAGCTGTCTGTCTAACCTGGTCTTAAATATCTTCCGTGATAAGGATTCTACAACCTCCCTAAGCAATTTATTCCAGTGTTTAACCACCCTGACCATTAGGAAGTTTTTCTTAACGTCCAACCTTAACCTCGCTTGTTGCAGTTTAAGCCCATTGCTTCTTGTCCTATCCTCAGAGGCCAAGGAGAACAATTTTCTCGCCTCCTCCCTGTAACACCCTTTCAGATACCTGAAAAGGGCTATCTTGTCCCCTCTCAGTCTTCTCCTATCAAAACTAAACAAGCCCAATTCCTTTCGCCTTCCTGAGCTATGGCTCATGTTTTCTAGACTTTTAATCATTGTTATTGCTCTTTTCTGGACCTTCTCCAATTTCTGCACATCTTTCTTGAAATGTGGTGCCCAGAACTGGACACAATACTCCAACTGAGGCCTAATCAGAGCAGAGTAGAGTGGAAGAATGATTTCTTGTGTCTTGCTCACAATACTCGTTAATGCATCCCAGAATCATGTTTGGGGTTTTTTTGCAACAGTGTCACCCTCTTCACTCATATTTAGTTTGTGGTCCACTCTGACCCCTAGATCCCTTTCAGCAGTATTCTCTCCTAGACAGTCAGTTCCCACTCTGAATGTGTGAAATGGATTGTTTCCCCCTAAGTGGAGTACTTTGCATTTGTCCTTATTAAACTTCATCCTATTTACCTCAGACCATTTCTCCAGTTTATCCAGATCATTTTGAATTAGGACCCTCTCCTCCAAAGCAGTTGCAACCCCTCCCAGCTTGGTATCATCTGCAAACTTAAGAAGCATTCTCTCCATGCCATCATCTAAATTGTATCAGAGGGGTAGCTGTGTTAGTCTGAATCTGCAAAAGCATCGCGGAGTCCTGTGGCACCTTATAGACTAACAGAAATGTTGGAGCATAAGCTTTTGTGGGCAAAGACCCACTTTGCATGCATCTGACGAAGTGGGTCTTTGCCCACGAAAGCTTATGTTCCAACACTTCTGCTAGTCTATAAGGTGCCACAGGACTCCTCGCCACTTTATCATCTAAATGGTCGAGGAAGATATTGAAAGAACCGGTCCCAAAACAGACTCCTGCAGAACCCCACTTGTTATGCCCTTCCAGCATAATTGTGAACTTTTAATAACTACTCTCTGGCTATGTCTACACAGCTTCCCTCTTCCATGAAAGCCTATGCAAATGAAGCACAAGTTAGCATATTGCTGTGCTTCATTTGCATAATTAATTAAGATTTCTAAAGAACAACCATCTACACAGCGCCCTTTTGCGCAAAAAAACCCTCTTGCACAAGAGCCTCGTTTTTTCAGGAAGAATGGCTCTTGTGCAAGAGACGGGGTTTTTGCACAAAAAGGCACTGTGTATATGGTTGATCTTTAGAAATCCATGCTGTCTATTACCTATCACCTTATTATCTTCCTGATATTTGCAGATGAATTCCTTAATTACCTGCTCCATTATCTTTCCTGGCACAGAAGTTAAACTGACTGTTCTGTAGTTTCCTGGGTTGTTCTTATTTCCCATTTTATAGAAATAATGCAGCAAAATAGAGACAATGGATTTCAGAAAAGGCAGATTTTAGTAAACTCAGAGAGCTGGTAGTTAAGGTCCCATGGGAAGCAAGACTAAGAGGAAAAACATGGAAGCTACATCCACACTGGCAGCTTCTTGCGCAAAAACTGTTTTGTGGAAGAGTTCTTGCGCAAAAAGTCTTCCACAAGAGCATATCTACACTGACGTGCTTTTGCACAAGAGATGTGCTTTTGTGCAACATGTCTATGGCATGTGGACGCTTTCTTGCGCAAGAAAGCGTCCACATGCCATAGACATGTTGCACAAAAGCACATCTCTTGTGCAAAAGCACGTCAGTGTAGATATGCTCTTGTGGAAGACTTTTTGCGCAAGAACTCTTCCACAAAACAGTTTTTGCGCAAGAAGCTGCCAGTGTAGACGTAGCCTAACTGTTTTGCTGTTCTCCATTCTACCATTCCTTAGTATCGTGAACTCTATGATTCCATAATCACTTTCATCCAAGCTGCTTTCCACTTGGAAATTTTCAACCAGTCCATCCACTTCTGGGCACTATAACTAGTTCTCTTTCCAAAATCAAATCCTTGCCAATTTTATGTTTCCATATGGTCCTTGAAATCTGGATTTTCTTCTCTCACTGGACATGATAAGTGGGTTTCTGCCCACGAAAGCTTATGCCCAAATAAATCTGTTAGTCTCTAAGGACACCTCATTGTTTTTACAGATATAGACTAACATGGCTACCCCTTTGCTACTTGAAGATAGCAGAGTGCATTGTTTAAAAATATTTATTTTTAAGGTCTCTACGATTTTTGTTCCATTATGCACATTTAAATACAATAACATTTAAAGGTCTGTTTCACCATTTGACATTATTATAAACTCAAAATATTGCATCCCCTCATGTTTTCAGTAGCTCAGGGTGTGAAATAAAGACTGTAGATGATCATGGTTCCCTCCCCCAGTCTGAGATTTTATGTTTTCTTCATGCTCTGGACTGGAAAGGGTGCAGAAAAACAGGTCAAAGGAAATATGCCTACATAGTATTAAACACCCATGGCTGGCTTGGGTAATTGACTCAGGCTTGTGGGGCTTGGGCTGATTGGCAGTAAAATTTCCGAGACATTTGGGCTTGGGCTGAAACCAAACTCTGGGATTCTGCATGAGGAGAGATTTACCATTCTCTATTTTAGTGTCAAGATAAAAATGGGCACATCCTACCTTCTCTGAAAGGGGGTCCTGTCCTTTTATTAGGTAAGCAACTAAAATGTGATTTTTTTTTTTAAATGTGAAAAATTCAAAGCATTTTCTTCAGTGTTAACATATCTACAGTGGTGGGAGTTGTGGACCTTCAGGTGGCTGATAAGGCCGATCCTTGAACCACAAGTTGTGTTACAATGAGGACAGATGTTTCTGGGTACAGCTGGACGCTGTTGACCATGACTAGAAGCCAGTCTCCCCTTCCTCCTTCGTGTCTTTTCCGCCTCAGCTTGTCGGTGGGCAAGTTCAAAATGCAGGAAGTCATTGCGTAGGATGTCTCTCCGTTTTGAGCCATCCTAGGTGAGTGTCTCCCATGTGACAAAGTCAATGTTGCACTTTTTAAGTTATGCTTTAGAAAGTCCTTATAATGCTTTCATTTGCCCTCCCATGTTATGGTATCCTTTTAGCTGAGAAAATAGGACCTGGTCTGGCATCCAAACAACATGACCAGTCCAGAGAAGTTGCTGATGGATAATCATTGCCTTGATACTGGTGGCATTTACCTCTTCCAGAACACTGATGTTGGTGTTCCTATCTTCCCATTTGATCGTCAAGACATTGCAGACGCAACATTGGTGATACCTCTCAAGGAATTTCCAGTGATGTCTGCAGGTTGTCCAGGTTTAAGACCTGTACAATAGTCTTGGGAGAATGAAGGCTTCATAGATAAGAAGTTTGGTGTGTATTCGAATGTCGTGATCTTCAAAAACCCTGTGCTGTAAACGAGCAGAGGCGGCATGGGCACAGCTCAGATGATGTTGGATTTCTACATCAATATCTACCTTGGAAGAAAGATAACTTCCAAGATAGAGAAAATGATTGACATTCTCCAGTGTTTCTCCGTTGACTTTAATAAATGGAGTGTGTGGTGCCTCATTTGGAGAGGGCTGGTAGAGCACTTTGGTGGTCTTGATCTTGAGGGAGAGACCAAGACATGCGTCAGCAAACACATTCAAGATAGTTTGAAGATCTTTCTCAGAGTGGGCAAAAACTGCATTATCATACTCAGGGCTTGACAAACCGCAGCGAAATCTACTCACCAGACCAGCATTGCATATGCGCGCGCTGCCTGTGAATGGGGCGACTGGCTGAAATCTACTCGCCACTGATTTGTCGAACCCTGTGAAGATCTATGATAGTTATGGTGGAAATGTTACTCTTAGCTTTCAGCCTACTAAGCTCAAATAGCTTTCCATCCATTCTTAGATGATTTCAGTGCCAGTTGGGAGCTTCCTAGCAATTAGGTAAAAAATTATGTCAATAAAGACTGCAAACATGGTTGGGGCGATGATACAGCCCTGTTTGGCTCCTCTTTGTACTTTGAAAGGACACAACATAGATACATGACAAAACTGTCAAAGATCATATTTAGGTACAAAAGAGCTTCTGAAAATTCTACTCTGAAGTGAGTTAGGAGTTCAAGTCCCATCAGTATCAAATTGGAAATCCTGATAGAAGTAGGTCAAGTTTTTTGACTTGTGGATGTTCAGTATATGGGTGGGTGGTGTTAATTGCAAAGGTAGCTTGGACTATCTGCAGTTTTGAGTTTTGGTGAATGTTCTTCCACATAGTGGTGGAGCAGGGCCCTGACCCTTAACTCGCCGGCACTTCTGGAAATCCGAGGCCCGCTCCAGGCAGAGCCGGGGAGAGACCCAGCTCCACATAGTGGTGGAGCAGGGCCCCGGCTCTTAAGTCGCCGGCACTTCTGGGTGCAGGGGTGTGGGGCCTGATTTGACTGAATGGGTCGAATCGGCCTAAGGGCCGGCAGCCACCAGGCACGCTGAGGCCCGGCATTTTTTTTCCGCAGCCCGGTAGCAGGCCGCAGACTATAGTTTGGGAAACGCTGCTCTAAAGTGTATCATTGAGTGCAGCTAATCCGTAAAATGTTAATGATGGACACTCAGGTGGTTTTCA